TTCCGAACAAAACATTTTACCGTATTTTGTCATGTTTAACTCTATCATGGTTATGAAGGAAATAAACGCTCAACGGGGGCTTTTCGATAAGACATAATTTTATCATTAAACTCTTAAAGATAAAGACTTGGTGTTTTTGTTAAAATTTTAGACATCAGAGAAATTTTTTGCAGTAAAGTATACCCATATCTACGAGTTTCAAAATTAAGATTTGGGATTCTTTAAAAATGTTATTTGTCATAATTTTTAGTGATCTTCTGTAAGACATATACACCCGATTTTATCTTTTCCAAAAATAATTTTCCACAAAGCCTTGATATTTCTAACAAAATTGTGTCCATCTTCAATTATAATTATTTATGGTCTCTTAATGGGTTAGCGGTAAGTTAACATATTTAAAATGCTAAAATCTGGGGCTCGATTCCCTGCACCGTACAGTTTTGTGTAGCTTTGCGCTAAAACAACAGTATCAACATCAACAATTTTCCTTTCGAATGAGTGTTGTTTTGCAATACGTGAGAAGAAAATTTTGGATAAATAATAATAAATAATAAATTGACACCTCTAAATAAAAAACTTTAACTGGTATTATTTTGATTTTATGTGCCCAATTCGAATACAACAGATGGCGATGCAGTCGCTATACTATCATGGCGAACACATGTGTTAAATATCCTATAACAAAGTTCTTGTATGAATTTAATACTTTGACAGAATTACCAGAGAATTTTCTTGAGTATGAAACTATATCTTAATTTGTACTTGTAGTGCTCTGTTATTTTTAACTCACCTTTGTTTGAATTATAGTTAAGAAAGCTGCCTTACAGACTTTTAGGTTTTGGAGAAATAAGTATACTCTAACTTTAAGTCATTTCAAAATTCAAATGACTATAAGTTATATTTATAAGTGTAATTATATATACTATAATATAGTGTTAAGCGATTACGTCTTTTTTTTTTTTGTCTTAATATTATTTATAAGGCTTAAGAAGTTAAACTGTAAAGTGTAATCCTGCCATTCTCAGCTATCAGAAGGACTGAACATAGAATGTTAAGGATGAACAAAATCACCTGGAGAAGAAAGAGAATGGGAGGAGAGACAAATGTGTAGGTCCAATCCTGGCTGAAAACATCAATAGCAAGAGCAAGAAGATGAGGAACCAGAGTACAAAGCCTCAGTGTGAGGAGCACCCCACTGAAGTCAAAGCTACTGGAAAATAAAAAGGATCAAGAGAACACTCCATTGGATAAATGTTGTCTGGACAGGTATCCAATCCATGATAAGAGTAAAAACACCCAGAACATAACACACAATGATAGGAATATTAAGAGTGTGGGCCCCAAAAGAAGGTCCAATATGAATACAGACGGATGGAAAATGAGCAACCACTGAAGAAAAGTTGGAATGGATCATTACCAGACAATTTCTGGCCAGGTGGATAAAAGGAACCAAAACATGACCTACAGTGAGAAGCTTCAGGACATTGATAGGATAAGACCTCTCAGCCTCAGACCACAAACCCTGAATCTTCCAGTTGATCAACCAACACCCCCACATCCCCCCAAAAAGATGCATCCATGAAATGTGGAAAAATGGATGAGGAAGCAGGAGACTCGCCAACGTGCGAGTCATACCTAACCACCAACGCCGATTGATGACAAGGGTAAGAGAAAGGGTAATAAGAGCCGACAAAGGATCCTTGTAAAATTCCACTGGTTGTGAAAAGATACGAAAGAGCCCACCTAAGTCTGACCTAAGTGGATAAGGGCTATCATGGAAGTTCACATTCCCAAAAGCGATAGAACTTTACGAGCTGTACCAGAACTGAAAACCCATCAAATGAAGTCGAAGATGAGAAAGGCGGGCCCGACTGAGATGTGTGTAGAAAAATAAAAATACCCCAATTAATAAAATATTGGACAGGTCACAGTAAGGACTTTTTCAACTTATTAACAGGCCAGGAACAGTAGCCAGTTGACCAAAGAATGAGAAAAGTGCAACCTGAGATCATATAAATGATGAACAAATGCTCTGAACACCCAACAAAACATACAGGGCTGAAGCAAGTCTGAAGGGCAGTGCACAATACAGAGAAACCACTCCATGGAGAATAAACCAAAGTGAGAGGGTTGTGACAAAATATCAGGATATGCAAATAATAATTTGCAACATTCCTCTTTGTCATCGATAAACCTGTAGAAAAATTCCACCTAAGGGTGAGAAATGTGACAAACTTAGTACAGGCCACCAGTCTCCGGTTTGGTGCGAGAACAACACACAGCCTGGAGAAAGATGATGAACAGGATGCAATGGTCTGTAGAGACAGAAAATCTTCTACCTCCTCAGACAGAAGCAGGCTGTGGCAGGATCCTAAGTCATGGGAAAGGACAAGGGTACCAGGGAGAAAAGAGGTGGAGAAAGAATTAATAGGACAAGTCCATCTGATAAAACCGAAGAACCCATGAAACTGTAGTAAAAGATCACTAAAGGGTAACAATATAATAGTCAACTTTTAGATACATATTCTTCTATAAAATTGCTGTTACTAGTATTAGACACAATCAATTCAAATAAACTTTTATAATCCTGTACAAGATCAATATTTTTAGTACTTTCGGTCTGTGTCTCATCTATTCCATAAAATGAACAATTTCCACAAAAAAACATGCATAATGTTGACCAGTTACAATAAATATACAAAATCTGAATAAAAATAAAAAACGAGTTAAACTGATATTCTAGAACAATTACCATGTTCTATGCAAACTATTATCATTAATCCTTACCTTTGTTGATGAAATTTCATCTTTGCTATTACTAACTCCATCAGAATCTTCAGCACCGAGTTCACTATCAGATGGGATTTCAGCAAATAAATCAATATCCTCAGAATCTGAGTCAGAAGATTCAGATAGGTTTTTTTTTTGTTTGTTTTCACGAAGATCTTCTTGCTTTAAAAACTCATCCAGTTCAGCCAATTTGAAGAACTTATCATCTACTAGTGAAGTTTTCTTTTTTAGTTTTGTTTGTGGCTGAACCTTCTTTTCTTTTAAATTTTCATTTTTTGCAGAATTGGAATTTTTAATATATCCTGAAATTTCTAAATCATCATTAGTTTCTTCAGCACTTGAGTTAACATTTGAATCTTCATATTCTTGTATTGGGGAACTGATGGTTAAACCTAGTAAAGAACAATCAGAGTTCAACAACGATTTAGTTACTTTAGGTAGAAGGTGAGAAGTACATGCTTTATTCTGGAGTTCAAGCTCTTGCCAAATTTGCTCCTCATCAAAATTTTGGATAATAAGTTCTGGTAAAGCCTCTGATTCAGGTAACAGTCTCTCTTCTTGTTTAGTAAAGTCATATAAAGACTTAGTTAAAGATTTGAAGTTTCTGGCCACTTCATTTTGAGTTCTAAAAAAAACAACAGAAAAAAGACATTTTGAGGTTATCTTACTATTAGTACTATTAAGTTTTAAGTACTGCATTTCTAACAAATTAGTTGGCATGGAATGAAACAAGTTAAAATAATTGCAAACTGTACAATTCTAGCCAAATAAAATTAAAGCTCAAAATAGCAATAATTTGTCTTAAAAACGAACAATATTATAATGATATTCAAGGCTTTTCACTTTTAAAAACATATTTTCTAGGTGACATTTTTCAGTTAGTGTTGTGATATGTGCTTGTCAGTAACACAGCAATTTTACTTTGTGAACAAAGTTAAATCTAGCATTTTGGAGATTCTCCATGAGTTATATTCACACTGACACTGTAGTTTTCAAATTAGCAAATTATATTTTTAGACATAACTACTGAAATTTGTATTACTGATTTTTAACTTTTGAAAGTATTTAACTTTTTTTTTTATAAATAAATATTTAATGTAAATTTAGACCCTCCTGAAACTAAGAAAAGCTGGTTAAATTTCATTAATATCTTACATTGTATATTGTTATTAATAATGCTTTTCAAGTAACTGTCCAATGATCTTTGTTGTTTATTCTTGTATAGAATTATAAGTCATATTGACAGTAAGTTGTTTGAATTTGTTGATATTATCAAAATAATTTTCTATTAAGAGACACCAGATCTTATGATGCTTTCAAAACCTTGGTATCAGGAACAAGTATTAAAACTCAACAAAGTGATGATACTGGAACTCTAAGCGTCTACAAAGAAATGAAGAAATTCACACACAAAACCTCAATATAAAAACACTGCTATCTGAGTTGGGGCTCTGAGGGATGACAGATCTACTCCCCATACAAATTTTCTATTTGCAATGCATACTACCTACACCCAACTCTCTCTTAAGCATATGGTGATGTCATCTGTACTTTCCTCTTCCTAATTTCATTTTAGCACTGTTTAATGAAGTTTAAATATCACAAGGTAATTAATATTACAAACTACTGAAAGTTAAATGTGTAGGTTATTCTAAATGTTGTTTGTCAAGTAAGAACAATTAAAAAAATAGGTAAGTTCTATTGAATGGTTCTTTCAATCCTAATACATAGTAATATTTTTATATGTTCATTCCTTTCTAAATGTTATTCTCAATAGTTCAGAAAAAAAAAAGATATCAACTGGGATAAAAACTTAGGACATTGTGTGATGTTATTATTTTTTCATTAAAAAATCAACAAGTTTTACAAAGATTTAACAACTTAAAATACACTAACTTTTTGAATATTTATTAATTCACATGAAAGAGAAGATGTTTAGAACTCATTGGTATTTATAAACTAAAATGTTTATGTATTATTCCAAGTAAATTAAAATGTAAATGAGATACCTAATCAAAAAGCTAGTTACATTAATAGACTAAGAACATGGAAAATGTACAGGCTGGAGGAGTAATAATAGGCTTGTCAGCTTTTCTTTTAGTAGCATGCTGGTTATATAATAACAACATATTTTAAACATCTATATTTGCATCCAAATATTGTCAAATAATAGAACATGAATGAGATGTATCTATGGCTAAAGCTATCCAGTGTCATTTCTTGTCTGTGCGTATCCCCAAGAATAATAAGTTCTCATGAAATTCAGAGTTGAATTAAATTTTGAGATTTTGAAGAGGGTGGGGGGCATGAATGGAAAATTGCAGCATCAAAAACAGAAAATATCAATATTTATATTATTTCTTCATGTTAATGTTTCTTTTGAATACTTATGTAAGTAGGAAATTTGTGGTCAACTCAGTATAAAATGTAAAATTCATAACATTCTAAGTGCTTAAAAGTGGAAATTATTAATTCACTTTACCCAAAAGATCAACATTTCAATCATTTTCTCATATATTTTGGTCAAAAAGTCTGTAAAACAGAATTATTTTTGGGACTAGCTTTAATATCAAGAAGACACGGATGTATTTTTGAATATGTGATATGATCAAGTTTATACATAAGCCAAAGAGAAACTGCAAATAAATAAAAGGGTTTTTTGTGAACTGGTTCAGGACAAGTTGCTATGCATCATCACAAATACATGATGCTGAGCAGTCCATTGAATGATTGCAGTTTAATTTTTGAAAATAATATTACACTATTCCAGCTGATTTTGACATGTTTAACACTTCTCTACCTGCCAAAATATGCGAGTATACCTTCACTTGATTCTTTAAGAGTAAAGCACTAGGACATTAATTGATTCAATCACGTTTTCATAACCACTATGCATTGACTGATCAGAAGTTTGATTTCCTCACTAACTGGCTTGAACACATCTGGTAAAATTACTGGAAATGGGAATTATCACCATTATAATTTTTGAATATATGGATATTTGAAGTTTTTTCCGTATTTTTAATGCAAAGTTTAAAAAAGGAAACAATAAAAACATTATCAAATTTAAAAAATAATAATATGAACACTTTTAGCTTGATACTTTTCATTTTGGATTAGGAAAAGTTTATTTTGATGACTCAGTAAAACCAGAAAAATTGAATTCTAAAACAAAGTACTAACAGATCATTTTTCCAAAAATTCTAGAAAAAGTTATTCTGTCAATGTAAATAAATGTTCAAATGTGTTAATTTTTATTCTTGGTATAACACAAACTTAAACAAATGTGCAAAAAACTTATGATCAACCAATGTATACTTATTATGGACACGTTTGAAATAATATTTAGTGCTTCACTTTTAACAAAACATGCAAGGGCACGTTCACACATCTTTATTGGAGCAGGAGTATTACAAAAGCAAAATCAGCATCAGGTGTTTAAAATTATTCATAGAAATTAGGTGTGTAAAAACTGCTTACTGCTGTTGCAGCATATCAAATGATCCTGAACCAGTTCATAAAAAGACCTTTAGGTATTTACAGTGTCCCTTAGGGTTAGGTAATAATAAAATTATTTCAAGTTAATAGCTGCTGTCATAAAAAAATGCCAGAAATAATAAATGACTTTTTTAATCTATTTTAAAGATACAATTTATGTCTTTTAGTTTTATTAAAACTAAAAGTTAAACTGTTGAAGTAATTTTCTGTGTTACGGAGTTACTGTTAGTAGCTTTTGAATAGCAAACCAAATAACAACATTGTATTTATAAGCAGTAGTGCAAAGTCCAAAATGACCATACTATTACTACTATCTTAGAACTATTACTATTAATACTAATATTCCTTCCTGGCTGTCTCAGCTGTGTTTTTCATGGCTTCTCCAGCTCCAACTTCCTCCGTTACTTTTTTTTCTGTCTCTTCTTCGCCACCCTTAGTCACCGGTGTATCATCCAGATCTTCCTGTCCTCCGTCTTCACGCTTGGTTTTCCAATGGTCGTTGGTGAGGTGATTTGGCTTCTCTTTTGTGCTACTAACTTGAAATTTAATTTTTAGAAAGCTGTTTTGAAATTAAGTTTTATTCAAAGTCTCCTCGAGTTAAAAGGTTTTTATTAATTGAGCAATAAAACAATTTTTGTCTTCTAATGGAAATCTGGATATCACTTTTATATAGTTGATTGTCCAAAGTAAAGTTTGTTTTCTAACTCTTGATGTTGATAGTGAAATTTTCTATCTTAGGGTTCTAAAGGAGCAAGATTTGCAAAATATGAAGATTTCTTTGACCCTCTTGAAAGTGATGAAGACAGACAAATATGTAGCTCAGAAAGTGGAACAGATAAGGAAGATGAAAATGCAGAGTATGTTTTTTTACATATATATAATTTATTCAGTAGATAACTATATAAAAACAGGTCTTTTACAATAATCTGTTTGATTAAAACAAGTAAAAATTTAAGATCCATTAAGTGATAGCAAAGTGAATGAGGTTGTGTTAATTCTGTCAAAAACTAAGCTCAACACTTTGCCGTTTAAAAGAATGTACTTCTTTCTGCTACAAACAATTTATAGGTACTGTATTTTTCATGTTTTAATTCATCACAAGTAATCTACATTCATATATGTGTTTGAAAAGAAAATAGGTAACTTCATACTTCTTACACAATGATCAGCAAAAACATTGCTTATAAACACTGTAGTTTTCTAATTACAAAAACTGGATAAGTTTAACAATTAGAAATATCTAAAGTAAAATTGCGACTGTGAAAATCATTACATCTGTGAGCACGATGGACCCGAAAACAGTCTGTACCTTAAAATAAGGGTATTAAATGTCCATTCTTTTAACACATTTTCCAAAATGTACTTTCAAATAAAGCAGCTGACACCAAACTGTCATTATTTTGTCACAAAGTGGCTGAACGTTTTGTTCTGTATGTATTAAAACACTAATGCATTAGGTTTTTAGAGAAAAAGTTGCATAATATTGTGAACAATAAATGTGTTTGACATCTTTATACTGACATAAAAATAATTTTTAAATATGTGAGAAGAGTTCTTTACAACAGTCCTGACTTTTGTATGATTACCTAAAACTAATACCCTTTTGAACAATGTTGTGGCTTAAAACTTCAGGTTGAAAATAAAAGAACCATTTTAAGAAAATACACCAAAATTAGCAACCATTTTAAGACACAATGTCTACCAAAAAGTTAATTCTGAGATACAGTACAATTAAATCTTAAAAGTGTGAAAGACCAACTGTGTATGGTATTTTGCATATTATATTTATCCAGATTGCGCTCTCATAATAACAGATTTTTTTTCAGCAAAATATATACAGACAACCAAGTGTTATAATTTGTTCACTTCAATATAAATCATCATTAGATCTTTACAGCAAATAAGTTAGTCTGACGGATATAAAATGGAATACATTGTTTGCTTCTTTAAACAACTACATTCTAGGTAGTATTCTATCTTTTGTTCTTTATTATTTATATAAATAAAGTCTTTAAAAAAATCTGTGCCAAAACTGAGTTATTTTACATACCTTTTCTTGTTTTTTTTCAAAAGTGGATTTTTTTTCTGATTGCTTCAATATTTTCTTCATGTCTTCATCATCACTACCACTATCACTAGCTAGTTCCAACTGACTGGCAGAACCTCTGTGATCAGATTTTTCATCTCTGATATCTGCATCCCTTGTGTCATAATCTCTGAAATAATTATTCATACAGTAATAATGTTGAACATTTACCTTGCTATTTATTAATTGTCAATTACATCAAGCTTGAGCTTCAACAGAACAACTTCTGTAAGGAACTGGAAACTGTATTTTTTATTTCAAAACTATTGAATAGCAATGAAATAACAAGAGAGACACATCCTGGGAAAAAGAACCAACCTATTTAAAGTTAGCTACAAAAGAAAAGTAACAAAGCATTCCATATTATCTGATATCCCACATAAAATATGCCCTGGATATATATCTATGTTATGTGAAGTAGTTTGGGTAGTTAACAGACAAGTTATATTTATTTTTCATTATAACATGTTAATTTATGAATAACATTTGCACAGTAGCATCACATTACATGATTCCACTTGAATAAGTCAAGCAGGTAAATCTTTAAATAACACAATGTCCATGAAGGTGTCAACATCTTTTGCAGTTTTCTGTTATCTACGTGTATACAAGAAAATAAACTCGATATCCTGTCAATCTTATGCAACATGTTACTATGTCATAATATTATAGAGTTTTTAGGTTGCACATATTTTACACACCTAATACACGTATATGTATAAATATGTGCATGAAAGATTGTCTGAACAATTTGACTGCCAGATTTCATTATAAATGTAGAAATAATTCACTGAAACCATACAACAAGATGAATTCTACATTTTACTTATTTGTCATAAGCTTGCGAGCTATTCACGAGCTCTTTACCTTACCTTAAGAAGAGTTTGTTAATGAGTTCTTTAGCTTGCCTTAAGAAGAGTTTATTAATAAGCTCTTTAACTCACCTTAAAAAAAGTTTATTAACGATCTCTTTACGTTGCTTTAAGAAGTTTATTAATAAGCTCTTTACCTTACCTCAAGAAGAGCTTATGAATGATCTCTTTACCTTGTCTCAAGAAGAGTTTATCAATAAGGTCTTTATCTTGTCTTAAGAAATATATTTAATAAGCTCTTTACCTTGTCTTGAGAAGAGTATATTAATAAGCTCTTTACCTTGTCTTAAGAAGAGTATATTAATAAGCTCTTTACCTTGTCTTAAGAAGAGTATATTAATAAGCTCTTTACCTTGTCCTAAGAAGAATTTATTAATAAGCTCTTTACCTTGCCTTAAGAAGAGTATATTAATAAGCTCTTTACCTTGTCCTAAGAAGAATTTATTAATAAGCTCTTTACCTTGTCTTATTTTAATAAGAGTTTATTAATAACCTCTTTACCTTGTCCTAAGAAGAATTTATTAATAAGCTCTTTACCTTGTCCTAAGAAGAATTTATTAATAAGCTTTTTACCTTACCTTAAGAAGAGTATATTAATAAGCTCTTTACCTTGTCTTAAGAAGAATTTATTAATAAGCTCTTTACCTTGCCTTAAGAAGAGTATATTAATAAGCTCTTTACCTTGTTCTAAGACGAATTTATTAACAAGTTCTTTACCTTGTCTTATTTTAATATGAGTTTATTAATAACCTCTTTACCTTGTCCTAAGAAGAATTTATTAATAACCTCTTTACCTTGTCCTAAGAAGAATTTATTAATAAGCTCTTTACCTTGCCTTAAGAAGAGTATATTAATAAGCTCTTTACCTTGTCCTAAGAAGAATTTATTAATAAGCTCTTTACTTTGCCTTAAGAATAGCTTATGAATGATCTCTTTACCTTTTCCTAAGAAGAATTTATTAATAAGCTCTTTACCTTGCCTTAAGAATAGCTTATGAATGATCTCTTTACCTCACTTTAAGAACAACTTATGAATGAGCTTAGAGGGATGTTCAATGATTGTATTAGGATAATTGTGTAGGTCTTACAGCCCCTCTTCTCACAACAGTTAGTGTTCTACAGTATGTGATAATCCTGGTTATAAACTACTGCTTTACATCAAAATTCCACTGCAATACACAAAGGTCAATGTTGTCCTCTCTCCTCTTTATATATTTTCCTAAGTCTTTCCAGCTTGTACAACTACTTCTGAGAGCCTGTTTGAGCAACTCAAAGACATAGAAGTACATGGGAGATGTCTATGAATGATATAACATAAATCCTCATTTGTACTGGAATCAAGTTGAAGAACTGGCATGCTAACTTGGATGTGTAGCTGGATGATTGTGTCTTCATAGTCATACCTTATTAGCATCCAATTCATGCAAAGATGGCATTTACTAATGATTTAGTGGTGTTAGTACGTTGTAGCAAGCTAGTATGCAGAATTCACCTTGGTATTTTACTTGATTTTTCTGGTGATTAATTTACCATTACTTAACATGCAACCATCAAACATCCACCGAAGAAACTGTCATGACATGCTCTGTACCACTTTTTAAATGTGGTAATACTGACGAGAAGTGTATAAATTGCTTTGATATTTGTACACATTCTTTCAGTTATCACATAACAAATACCGCTCAGCAGGTCTTCCATTCAGCTACGAGCTTTGGGAGAAAATTATGAACATATCTTGTGTTCCTTTGCAGACCTAAGTATGTGCGAGTTATTTTGTTTACATTTCCAAGTGAGGTTTTAATTGCAACGGAACACTATCTTCTTGAGTTACCTTAACTTTCTTGTATACCTCTGATGTGTGACTGGTAGCCAGTTTTTTCCTTCCAGCTGGAATCATGCCTTTCCTTGCATTACTAATAATGTTCAACATCACTTATATTCATCCTTCAAAACACTCAAATTTGTGTCTAACATGATTTATCATTGTGGAATAAGAAAAGTTTGTGTTCTAAGGTCCTGTAATTTAAACCTCCCAAGTTTAAGTGTCATCTGTACTTGTAACTCACCATACTTCAAGCAAACCGCAACAAGAGAGTCAGGGCTCTTAAACTGTGTAGTCACGAGCTGCCAGAATAACAGGGGCAAAATGATTCAATATGTAAATTTTTATCCTATTTATAATCAAAAACTAAATAATAAATTTAATAGAATTGATTACTACAAAATAATAGCCTTTCCTGCATAGCTGTTAAATGTAGGATTGAAATAACCTTATTTTACACAAGGGCAGGAGTAAACTTTCCTACACAGCAGTTAAGAAAGATAGGATCATAATAATCTTTGTTTTGCAACAAATTTGTTTGTTATAAAGCACAAATTTGCACAATGGGTTATCCATGGTGTGTTTACTGCAGGTATTAAGCCTTGAATCTGATTGTTATAAGCCATTCAGCTTAACACTGAGCCACCAGAGAGCTTTTGCAAAAGGAGTAATCTTTTCTACACTGCAATTAAATGACACAACCACAATAGTCTCCATTTGGGAAAATGGTGCAATTGAATATTGATAACCAGATAGACTCTTAAGCTAAAGCAAATTTTTTCTTAATAATAAAATTTAACAGTAAAATTCAGAACAACAATTAGATGCAGAGATGGCATCAATTAACAAATCACTTATAGTCTTCCAATCCCTTTATCGGGATTTATTTACCAGGATTTCTGACAAGCAATATTTCTAAACCCTTAGAAAAGATGATATTGATAACAATCAATCCAGACTGGTTTCCTTCTGCCTAAAATTCACAACCTGACAACATCAAGGAACCCCACGTTAAATAATTTCTATGGATTTCAGGCAATTTTACCTATACTCTTCCCTACACATTTCTGGAAACTTAACTTTTTAAGAATCAGCCCAAATAACTTAAACTGATTCATATATGGTAAAGTAAATTTCCCTGTTAAAGTAAACAGTAATCTAAAAGATTACTAGGTTGCTCCATAAAAACATGGATTTGCAGTATGTTTGCTATAGTCCCGTATTCAGTGCTACTTTTGTATTATTAATTTTGCTAAGAGATTGAAGAATCTACAAAAATGTTCAGCAAGTTCTTTATCCTACTTGTTTTTTAATCATTTAATATGACTATCAGTGAGAAACTGCTTAAAACTTGATATTTTACTATAACACATAGAATACAAAAAGGGAACTACTGTAACATTTTCAAGAAAGTTTTCACATAGTAGTACTAGAAACTCTTTTTCTAGTTTCATTGTATATAGATGTCTTGTATTACCGTGTTTTTATGTACATAGTTCACATGTTTATCTCTAAAGCTTCAGAAGCAGATTAAAGAGTTGGAAGAAAGTAACTTGGCAGAGAAGCCATGGCAACAACTATACAGTCTTTTTTAATATGGGAATATGGTGTCTGTTAATAATGTATAATTTTTCATAGATAAAATAGTACACTGGGTGAATATTCTATAATTTCTAGGTTGATTCAAAACATTTTCTCTTAGCTACAGCTACTTTAACAAAACAGCATAGTTATATCAACATTACACACCTTAGTATTTTGAACAACAAAGTTTTATCCCAAGAGTTCAAAAATTATCCCAGTGGAATGATAAATTATTAAAGAGAGCAGAATATCTATGCACTGTTCAGTCAAATAAAAAAGGCAGCTACAATGGTGAAGAATGCATGTAACTATGGCAGTTAGGGTTAGGATAAAAAAAAAAAGACATACTGTATGGAACAAGAAGGCTGTAACTGATAAAAGAAAATCTTAGTTGTTTCTTGCTTGGAATAGTGAAATAAAAATATAATTTTTGATAACTAATTTTAAATGTAACAGGAAATAACTTTATCAAACTGGAAATGACGAGTTATTTCAAGCCTAACAGAACTTTGTACTCCCTACTTACCTTTAATATTAAATAGCAAGTTTCTTAACTCTTCGTATCAAATAGCCTATTGTTCAAGTTCTTAAACCCAAAATAAATTGCATATTTGTTTCTAATAAATCCTATATCAGTGTAATAGAAACTTTTTATGGTTTACTTATGAAGTATGTTAAAGTGAAGTTAAATAATAAAAAAAAAGGAGATAGAATGCAACTTAAAAGTGTACCTTTCCACTTGATCAATCACTATGAGCAAATTTTTAATGAAATTAAAAAATTAAATCCCATAGTATTATTATCAGTTTTTGTAAGACTAACCAACAGATGGTTATGCCCCTCTCACATAAAGCTAACACTATTTTAAGGATAAAATGAAACTTATCCATGGGTAAATAAATATTAAAGCTGAGCTACATAGTTATACAGCCTCAATTATAAGTAAAATTTTTTATTAACATAAAATGTAAAACTTCATCCATTGTGATTGGTTTTTCAATGAAAGGTAGTACATAGGAGTAATATAACCCTTTCAAATAGTCACAGTAGTAGAAGGAGTTATTGCATACAAAGAATATCATTTATATTTTTAAAAATGATGATTAAGTTCAGCATACTGGAACTTATGACTGTACCTTTTCTCGTGATCATGCTCTGTTATTTTCCCTCATTTCTTAACAGCAATGTTTCCATGAAATCAGAATTTTGGAAAAACAAAATCAAATCAATGTTTACCCATTTCTCTTGTGTAGCTTAGTGGAGCTGCATTGTAGAACTTAGTGTATGTGGTCACTGTTACTTCAGTATTTTTTAGTCATTTTTCTCATAATACAACCATTGGTTTCAAGGTGTGACTGAAAGTTTGTGAACTTCTGGCTTATGAACCTTCATCAATTTCAAATTCTTATATATGATCTTCTATGTGTAGTAAGAGACATGCTCAGCTTCGTCAGAAGTTTCTGTTTTGTAACAACAGCCTTCACTTTGTAGATGAGATTGGTTAAGGGCATGGTTTCAGTCTGTTGCTGTCTTAAACTGTGCTTCCACAAAGAACACAGAATATCCGTTCTCAAAAATTATATGCTTTAGCTTTACATGATTTAATAATCTTGTCATATGAATATACATACCTTTCCAGAAATACAATCAGCACAATATGCTTTTGTATACAAAACAAGATGCTTATCTATCATGTGACCACAGATCTAAAACCACTCTGATATCAGGAGGGAAGCCAAATAAAAATTTAGATGAATTTTCATAATATGTAAACAACTGTCTGCAAATACATAACATATTGCAGTTGTGAGATATGCACCTGTAATTCTGATTCAATTCTAAGGAAAAAAAGTTGGATGATACAAATCTAAGACAATTCACTGTAAAGATATACGTAAAAAACTGTGTGTATTCATATACATGTAATCTTCCAAATCAATGACTTAGTTGATTTGTAGCTAAGGCTTAGAGCAACTATGCCTCATTACTAAGATTCAAATATTTTCTAGTGTTACTTAAGCAAAGAAAAGTAACAATAAAAAACCCAGAAAAATCTATAAGGTATCTAAAAAATAGTTTTTTTATTTTGTACAAAGCTACATGTATGCTTGCTATCCATAATTTTGAAATGATAGAATGCAGCTACTCAAACCACCCACTGCCAACTCTTATCAGGCAGAATGTTACTATTACAATGCATCCATGGAACACAATTTTGTGTTTTTGTTGGTAATGGGACATCATCGGACATGCTAGCCATTTGGCCATACTAAATTCTAGACACCATTTTGAACTTTTGTAGGTACCACAAGTGAGCACTGTATTTACAATTTAGACTTTTTTTTTAAACAAAATTGAAATTAATGTTTAAAAAAAAAAGAATTTCATATTTCAAAAAAAAATTATTATGAAAGTAATTTTCAGTAATATAATTGTTTTCTCTCTAGCTTTATACATCTACATAATAACTGAAAATTTTGAGCATACGTGGAATTTAGATAGACATTTATAAAAGAAAACTTAAAAAATTATTTACAGCAACGTATATAAATGAACAGTTTTGTGAGTGGCAAATGCAAACACCTGATCTTTAATCCTTTGTTTAATGATATCTTCTAATTTTGTTGTTGTTTCCTCAGTGATGACAGGAGCTGTAAATGAGAAAATGGCTATTCTTAGTCAACAGTGTTTATTACCACAATAGCAGTGAAGTCTGAGTCTCAGTTAAGACTTCTAAATGACAACTGTTATAAATTATCAAATTAACCTTCTGCTCTATAATTACTTTTTAAAACTGTTTTAATAATGTGTTAAATAATTTGTTGAAATAAAAAATTCTAATGTATAAAAAAATATACAACAGATGGAGGTGATAGAAAATTAATTTCACAGAAATTTTACAAAAAAAAAAAAGAAATGTACCTAATACTACTAAAACATTCTACATGAAGTCAACTCTTAGAAAATTACTTTTCTTTGACTGAATGAATTTGTTTGTTTGTTATTAAGAACAAAAATACACAATGGGCTATCTGTGCTGTGCCCACCAAATGAGAAGAACATTTCATATAACCCCTTCCTCAACTATTACCCAATTTTCTTTCATACAATGGAAATACTTAGCCAATTTGTATTAAACATAGTACAAGCTTACCTTGAGCTTAAATAAGTTACTTTTTTAAAATATTTCTATCATTTTATAGGATGTGAAATTTCCAAAATATTGTTGTCAGACACTGTTTTGAAGAAACATTAAAAATATTTTCTTCTGAATTAAAATTTCAATTTTTTTGTTGATTGAAAAGTTTTTAGATATCCAGTTAGTTTCAACTTGTCTGATATTCTTTAACATATTTCTTTTGATACTTAAGTTTCCTGTAGACATCACTTCTGGAAATAAATCATAAACAAAATGGCAAAAACTTACAAAAGATTTATTGGTAATCTTCCCCACCTTTCAAAATGGCATTACCATTACCTTTGTCACGCAAGGTACCATGATTTTTGCTAACAATATTTTTGGTTAAAGTAAATTTACATCTAATAAATATAGTTTCTTTTCAGTAAATAACAAGTTCTTTTATTTATGTGTATTGCTTGAAAACAATAAACTTAACAATAATATTCACTGAATAAGGATTTAAGTCATCAAAATATTTTGTCATCACCAATCATACTCATTAAACCTAATTAAGCTTATCTGGTGTCTTGGAGTAGA